TTCAAAATATTTAACGTATAATTTCCACTTTTATTGTTGCTTAAAACCCTGCACATTTCGTTGACCAACAAAAAAACCTTGCAAATTTCAGAAGTTCTTGAAAAAAAAGAAGAAAGTTTCAGGTTTTGGATCTGTCTTCTGAAAATATTCAGATTATTTTAGCGTTTTTGATTTTATCTTCAAAAACGCCACAAGGAAATGGCGGGGAACGGTAACGGAAACGGCGATTTCTCCTTGAAAGAGACAAGTCCCAAGATCGGTAATGGTGGTGGTAACGGCGGCGAGAAGCTGACGTCATCGTTCGATCTCGTGGAGGCGATGCATTTCCTCTACGCACGAATCGTACGTGCTCGAGACTTACCGGTCAATGACTCTTTCGTTGAGGTCAAAATCGGAAGCTATAAAGGAAGAACAAAACAGAGCCTAAACCCTAACCCTAACCCTGAGTTTCACGAAGTCTTCGCCTTCACGAAAACTCGTCTTCAAGGGAATATCTTAGAAGTAATCGTAAGAAAGAGAGATGGATCGAACAACGACGAAGAGATTATCGGGAAATGTAAGTTCGATTTGGCCGAAATTCCTACTCGTGTCCCTCCTGATAGTCCATTAGCTCCTCAATGGTATAGATTGGAAGATAGAAATGGAATCAAAATCAATGGAGAGGTTATGTTATCTGTCTGGATTGGGACACAAGCCGACGAAGTTTTCCCGGAGGCTTGGCATTCGGATTCAGCGACAGTGACGGGAGAGAACGTGGTGAACACGCGATCTAAAGTTTATCTTTCTCCGAGGCTTTGGTACTTACGAGTTAACCTAATCGAAGCTCAGGATTTGGTCCCGTTGCATCAGAACCGGACCAATCCTGAGATTCTGATTAAAGGGTTTCTCGGCAACGTTGTTGTGAGGAGTCGGATTTCGCAGTCGAAGAGTCTGAATCCTGTCTGGAATGAGGATATGATGTTTGTAGCGGTTGAGCCGTTTGAGGACAGTTTGGTGATTACCGTGGAAGACAAGGTAGGGCAAAGAGAAGAGTGTTTAGGAAGGTGTGAGATAAAGTTATCTCAGGTTGAGAGAAGAGTATTACCTGGACCTTTACCGGCTTTGTGGTACAATGTTGAACATATCAGTGAAGCCGGAGCAACGAAGAGATTCGCCGGGAGGATTCATTTGCGTGTTTCTTTGGACGGAGGTTATCACGTTCTTGATGAATCAATTCAGTATAGCAGCGATTACAGAGCTTCTGCTAAACTTCTGTGGACTCCAGCTATTGGTGTATTGGAGCTAGGAGTGTTAAACGCTACGGGTTTATTGCCGATGAAGTCACGAGACAGTCGAGGCACGACTGATGCGTATTGTGTAGCGAAATACGGAGCAAAATGGGTGAGAACAAGGACGATCGTAGACACTTTCAACCCGAAATGGAACGAGCAGTATACTTGGGAAGTCTATGATCCATATACGGTGATAACTATCGGAGTATTCGATAATCTGAATCTGTTTGGTGCGGGTAATGAAAACCGTTTGATCAAGGATTCAAGGATTGGGAAGATCAGGATACGCTTATCGACCCTTGTAACCTCGAAGATCTACACGCATTCTTACCCTTTAATGGTTTTAAAACCAGAAGGGGTCAAGAAAATGGGTGAGATTCAGCTCGCGGTTAGGTTCACCACGACATCAATGATCGATATGCTTCAGAAATACACAGAGCCGTTGCTTCCGCAAATGCATTACGTATCTCCATTGTCTGTTTACCAATTAGAAAGCCTTAGACATCAAGCGACTCACATTCTCTGTCTCAAGCTAGGACGCAACGAGCCAGCACTAGGAAGAGATGTGGTTGAATATATGCTCGATGTGGGATCAAACATTTGGAGTTTGAGAAGAGGAAGAGCGAATTTCGAACGTCTTATCGCATTTTTCGATGGTTGGATCGATGCTTGGAGATGGTTCGACGGAATTTGCAAATGGGAAACCCCCGTAACGACGGTCTTGATCCATATCGTCTTCTTGTTCGCTGTTTTTTTCCCAAAGCACTGCGTTTTCTCGTTGCTATTGTACTGCATTGTGTTCGGTTTATACAGGTTCGGTTTGAGACCAAAACATCCTCCACACATGGATGTAAAGCTGTCCAAAGCTGATTCAGCTTCGGCTGATGAGCTAGAAGAGGAGTTTGATACGTTTCCTAGCGCGAAATCGGGCGATGTACTGAAGAAAAGGTATGATAGGTTACGTGGGATCGCGGGGAGGATGATGATCGTGTTGGGAGATTTGGCTACACAAGGAGAGAGAGTGAAGAGCTTGTTGAGTTGGAGAGATCCAAGAGCAACGTCTCTGTTCTTAACCTTCTGTTTTGTTTCATGTGGAGTGATTTGTTTAGTCTCCATGAAGTTATTGCTCACGTTTCTTGGGTTCTACGTCATGAGACATCCTAGGGTTAGGGTTTTCGATATACCTTCTATTCCTCAGAATTTCTTCAGGAGATTGCCATCAAGAGCTGATAGCATCTTGTAAGTGTAAGGAATTGTCCGATTTATCATTGTTTTTACTTTTTTAGTCCAAATCCGAATCAAAAAGGTAAGCTAAATTTATTGTCGACTAAAGAGATTAATTTTAATGTTCATGTTATTTGGATTCAGTTCGTTTGGGTTTGAACAAATGTGGTTCTGTTTAAGTTTGACTCGGTTTCGGAAAAAAAAAAAAATATTACTAAATGTAATTTGAGTGTATTTAAATGTAATTTTTTATATATATTGTTTTTTGTTTTGAACCTTTGTTACATCAAGTGTTTCTTGTTTTTAAACCTTTATATATATTGTTAATCACTAAATTTCGTGTTATTTTGATAATTTGATTCGGTTCTATTCTTTTGGTCTAAGAATCTTTCAACCGTACGTTACAGATTTTCTAGACTCATCACGACAGAATCGGACAATCTTTTGGAAAAGAGAGAACAAGAAAACAAATATAAATATCCATTATTATATTCTAATCGAGCTTAACATGTTAGAAAAAAAGATCGAGACTATAACTAAAACATTGAAAAGCTATTGGATTGTGTGTTTCACACATTGTTATTATTATTAACTCGATTTGTTTCAGATTTTCTCATTCATCTAGAGATGTATTATTTCACATGTCACTCTTGCTTAAAGAGCTCAAGCGAGGTCATCTACTCTGTTCAACATCATCACATTCTCTGCAAAATATGCTGTTCAACTTCAATCCCTGCGAATATCAACCAGCAGAGGCGGCCTGATCAGTCGCGGCATGTCAACATCGTTAGCTCTCCTAAGGCGGCTGCGGCACAGCCCGAGCATATCACGATCACCGACTATGATGATGGCAGTGAATGAGATACCAATCTAAACTAAGATATATGTTTGTTCTTTCTTTTATTATTGGTTTTATTAGTTTTAATTGAATGTCATTTTATAAAGTTTAAGCTCG